TTTCTTCATTATTTCAATTTAAGTAAAGTATTTTCGACCTTGGTTTGGTCCCATTATCTTTTAGTAGTTGGTTAAGGTTTTATTTGACTGCAAAGTCGACCATTTCATGGTATTCCGTACTGACAAATTAAGACAAATAAAACGGGTTATCTGATGAAACCTTTTTTGTAAAAAGGTGTAAATATTTTTTATCCAAATTTGTCGTAGCAAACAGATGACCCATTTAAATGCAGACATATTTGAGGCCTAAGCGAACGATGTATTTACAAGTTGTAAAATTGTTGGGCATAGTCCACTGTGCAGTGGCCAATGCAGCAACCGAGTATTATTGTTGTGCAGAAGGGCTGAGAGTTTAGTAGATTGGGAATAACAGGGGTGGAGATCTGTTAAGCTCAGGATTCGCCAAAATTCTTAGTTATTTCCGATCTTGTCTAACAACGGCGGTTGGCCACTAGGCGAGTTCAAGTCACGGTAGCAGCCACTTCATCCATCGTCCACTCCTAAATGATGTGCTACTTTCCTAATGCGCAGTACTCGATTTTAACTTTCATTGCATTATTTCTATAAACCACTTATTTTAAGACATTCGGCTCAATCTTGGCTAAAGACAATTTCTTTCATTAATTATTATGTCCCTTATCACCCATTGTAGTTAAGTGGTTGAACGTCTTGTCTGGCTTGCCTAAGTCCCACTAACTAAATCACACAATTCTGTTTATACCAGATCTGAGAAAGCTCTGTCCAAAGTCCACATTCAAAACACTTGCGCTACGAGTGGTTTGTCTCTTTCCACAGTTACAGTGCTTTTCATTGGTTTTGACACCAAAATCGACCACTGGGTTACTATCCTAGCTGGAGTTTTTTTTTTTTTTTTCAAATTCGAGCGCACATGAATGCTTACACGCTCGCATGCATGTGTCTTGCATAAACAACTTTTGTTTATTCTAAACTCGCGTTAACTGATCGAATTCAGAGATTTCGACAATGATTTGAGTGAATTGTAGGAAAGAGAGTCCAGCTGATTCTTGGACTATGGAAACCACTGATTCTCAAGTTTTTTTTGTCGTGGTTGTACCTATCTCTTACTATTCCAATTTAGATGTACCCTTATTCGTTCCAAGGGTCTGCATAAATTATGCCCCAAAGGATCATAGCGAACTCCTCTGAGGGGATAGCAACGGCACACAGACGGGAAGAAAAAGCAAGTTTCCTAAGAATTCGTCCTAAAGTACTGCTCCAGGACGTTTTTGATTACCAAATCATCGTACAATGCTTGTCGTGGCAGATAGCTAGAAAGGCAGCATTTGAGGAGAGACTTTTGGCTCTCCTCCTCTTTCCAACAACCTAATATCAGTGAAGTGGTGATTACATGAACATCGATTTTGGCGCACCATTGTCTCATGCGTTTTTTGCATCGAATGTATATAGATACCATTTATCATGCTTTTAGATGCCTAAGCTGCTGTGCTTACTCCATGGTTTCACAGCATTCGCTCATTTTTGTAAAAATGCAAGACAGAAGCGCAGATCCAAGTTTGCCTCTGCTAACGATCCGAGACCTCAAGCGTGATTACCGGAGATCTGTCGCATATCGGACACCATTGTCCTGGGATAGTATCTTTAGCTCAAAGAGTGACCACAAGTCATTTGCTCATTTAGTAATTAGGCCATCCATTTGTGCCTCACAAAATGCTAGGAAGTCACAAACTAAAAGGCTACTTTTGGAAAGTGACGCTAATGCGCCTTGAAGGTAGAGAAAGCCAATGGTATCATCTCTCAGACAGGATATTTGTAGAAACCAAATATTTTATGGCATCATAGATACCATTATTGCTATTAAAATGAGGCGGAAAATCTGGGCTTTTTTACCAGTTTCTAAATGTATAAATAGTTCATGATTCCGGCAATTCTTGAATTTGCTTTTTTAGAAACCCAACGGACATGGCAAAGCATTTTTAAAGTCTACTTTTATGAACCAGGAAGATTTTTTATATTTCGTTGCCGATTTTAAATAGGTAACCGTCCTGTAGACTTAGGTTTTGAGATTCTAAACTTGTGGGAGCCTTTACAGTGAAGTATTCGGTTCTGATTCATCTGACATCTTCGCCAATTCGGATGAACCCGTGCATCTTTTTCGACCCTTCAAAAACCGATAGGTTGCATTCAGTGGATGTGCAATGATGATATCGCTTTTAGTGGGAGGGTCCTCGAACTTCTATCATGAGCTTGAGCAATGGGAACGTGCCCTCTTTAAGTGGATTTCTCATACCACTAATGTTGGCATATTTCAATAAAAGCACTTGAATTCGCGGACTGCAAATCGCGTTATTTTTCATATTGGACACTTTGGGAAGTCGGACGCTTTGATGATCTGGTACTTAGTGGGAATAAACATTTCATAGTTAATATTCTAGTGGTCCCAACACTTTACAACGAAGATCTCGCATCATAACTCAAGTTTTTATTTGTATTTCAAGACGTGAGTTGTTTGGTAGACGAGTGTCCGCTTCTGGGGACTTTTGATTTAATACCCGTCTGGTTTGTCATGTGGCTCATCCTCTCCAACACTGAGCTCTCTTACTATCTCCATCTAAATGCCCTGTTGACTAGTATTGTTATCTTTGGCTTCACTGAATTTGCGCCTCAGGATGAACAGGTATATTTAACATTGCTTTCGATTCATTGGTGGTAGAGCACACAGAATCTGGGATGTGAATTCTTCAAATTGAATAATTCATCATTGACCTCCATTTGTCAATTGTGATTTTGACTATTTGGAAGCGAAAACTTGGTTGTTGGGGGCTCGTTTCACTGCCTTTTGCATCGATGCTACAGGTGCATGGGTATCCTGCTGCGCTACCTAGAGTCGGAGAAGTTTACACTGACTCGGCTGTGGGAGAGCATCACGAACTTGGACGTAAGTCTGGATGTTGCGGATCGCATTCTGCACCAACTGCCCACGCCTGATGAGGCGCGAATGTACCTCAACTACGAGTTCACTGAGTGCCTCCCAGTGGATCAGCTCACTGACGAAGACCGCCTCCTCCTCCATCTTTGCAAAGTCAATCGCCTGGGCCCCAAACTCGAGGTGGTAGTCTTCATGAATACCTTCGATTCCACTCTTACCTCCCTCCTCCCTGTGAGTCACTGTCTCATCTACTGATTAAATTTCCTTGAAATCAAGGCTCTGTCGGGTGAATACTGATTATTTCTTCTAAGTTTTAGGCGCTTTTATACTTCTCTTGATTTTCATGACTTCAGTCCTCTCTTACTAAGAAATTTCTCTGAAATTTGGATCTTATTGGTGGTCTGTGCTTGTGTGGATGACGTGTAAAAATATATGCGAATAATGGCAAACATCAAGAAACTTGAAGCACTTGGGAGTATCCTAATTTGGTTGGCAAGAGATCAAGGAAGTGACTGTGTTGGATGAACAGTTCTTCTAAGTTTAATCTATGAAGAAAGAGGGAATTAAGGCTTCTAATGTATGCTTGGATCTCTTCTTTCCTCCCCTCCTTCGTACTTCGCTTCACCAGTTACTCATTGTGCTTGGTCTCCTAATTATTTCTTGTGAACGCAATCTTTTGTCTCTGAATTTCACGAGAAGGCACTAATTTCAGTTCTATTTTCCGCCATTTGGTCGAACAGTTGCAAGGTTTGCTTGGAATATGCAGGCAACATCTTTGTCACTTTGTCTTTCAGTTAATAGTCTTTCATGCTTTCAATTTACCCCCTAATTTACACAAGGACCTTAAGTTTTATCTATTTCCCCTTTTTTGCGATCTGTCCTTCCATTCTGTCAGTAAAATTTTCACAGAATTGGAACATGTCGAGTGGATATGAAAGTGGAGAAATTGGAGGTTAATAAATTTTATACCTAACAAAGCAGGGAGATCGAGTCTGTAAATGTCCAAGCACGTAGTTGTATGGTACAGTTTTGCTCGAATATTTTTCTATCCTGCTCATTTTGCCAATCAGGACGGTTTTTTTGTTGTCAAATTGTAAATATTTTACCCACCTTCTAAAGAACTGTTATGGAGAAGCACATTAATCTTTTTAACTACTTTAATTTCAAGCTGTGAAAATTTTCTGGAAGAATGTGAGCGTTTCTTCTTGGGACTTCTGAGAATTACGAAGATTGGTTTCTTGCTAAGACATAAATTCGAAACTTTACCTTCTCAAAACCAGTAAATGTATTAATGAAGTATGGAGAGGATATGATTGTTCGAGCAAAACTACTGAGTTTTTGCAGCTTGTTGCTCCTCGTGGGTCAGTCGTTTTTACTGTTCCTCACGACCTACTGAAATGGGCTCTTACCTATTGAATCTGACTGTCGGTCGTCATCGATTCAGATGATACTTAGGGCGGGAGTAAATAAAGTACCGATTTTCCTTGAATTCAGCAAACCGATTCCTTTCTTTTTTCCTGAGTCAGTATCTTCTGCTTGAGGCTGTTGAATATCTTGGGAATCTTGCTCTTCTCGAGGATTGTGAGATTCTCGATCATTGTGGATTGATTTTAGAACAACGCAAGCGATACAAAGAAGTTCTAAGCAACGATGATAAGAGAAGCAGACCAGTGTAATTCGCAGGTAGAAGTACGACATCTTCAAGGGACGCCAGTGGTGACATATGAAAACCGAAAAAACAGTCGATGGTGCCAGCGTCAAACCAAGAAGATCCAAGCCATAACTGTGATACCCTCTTAAAGCGCAAGCAAGATAGAGAAGACTAGGGCTATCAAACCGGAACTCCATTTGAAGACCGAATATGAAAATTGATTAGCTTACGTTAAGGTGTTGATGGGGAATTATGCCCATCTTTGAGTCCAGGTCATGTGTCAAATGTATACTCACGCAGGCGACTACTCTTGAGGGATCAACCACATGCAACCAGCTGGTTGTCTTGAGTGTTTTCCACGACCAAAGCCCATGTGCTCATGCTACCGTTAGGTTAATCACCCACTGCTCCTCCACTCCACT